AGGAAAAACAAACCATGTTAAGTAACATAAATAAACAAATATGGCTGGAAGAACAATCCATATCTCAATAATAACCCTAAATGTTAATGGCTTAAACTCACCAATTAAGAGACACAGGCTAGTAGAATGGATCAAAAAAAAAAGATCCAACAATATGCTGCCTACAGGAGATGCATTTGATAGGAAAAGACATACATAGACTGAAGGTGAAAGGTTGGGAAAAATCATATCACTCATATGGAATTCGGAAACAAGCAGGAGTGTCCATACTCATATCAAATAAAATAGATTTCAAGCCAAAGTTAATCAAAAGGGATAAAGAGGGACACTACATACTGCTCAAGGGAACCATACACCAACAAGACATATCATAAATATATATGCTCCAAACAATGGTGCAGCTATGTTCATCAAACAAACTCTTCTCAAGTTCAAGAGTCTAATAGACCACCATACAATAATTATGTGCGACTTCAACACACCTCTCTCACCACTGGACAGATCTTCCAAACAAAAGTTGAATAAAGAAACTATAGAATTCAATAATACAATTAATAACCTAGACTTAAATGACATATATAGAATATACCACCCAACATCAAGCAGTTACATTCTTTTCTCAGCAGCACATGGATCCTTCTCAAAAATAGATCATATATTATGTCACAGGGCAACTCTTAGACATTATAAAGGAGTAGAGATAATACCATGCATCTTATCTGATCATAATGGAATGAAACTGGAAATCAACGATAAAAGAAGAAAGGAAAAATCATGCATCACTTGGAGAATGAACAATAGGTTACTGAATGATCAACGGGTTATAGAAGACATCAAGGAGGAAATTAAAAAATTCTTAGAGATAAATGAAAACACAGACACAACATATCAGAATCTATGGGACACAATGAAAGCAGTGCTAAGAGGAAAATTCATTGCCTGGAGTTCATTCCTTAAAAAAAGGAAAAACCAACAAATAAATGATCTCACACTTCATCTCAAAATCCTAGAAAAAGAAGAGCAAAACAACAGCAAAAGAAGTAGAAGGCAAGAAATAATTAAAATCAGAGCTGAAATTAATGAAATCGAAACAAAAGAAACAATTGAAAAAATTGACAAAACTAAAAGTAGGTTCTTTGAAAAAATAAATAAGATCGACAGACCCTTAGCCATGCTCACAAAGAGAAGAAGAGAGAGAACTCAAATTACCAGCATACGGGATGAAAAAGGCAGTATCACAACAGACACTTCAGAAATACAGAAGATAATTAGAAATTATTTTGAATCCTTATACTCCAATAAAATAGAAGATAGTGAAGGCATCGATAAATTTCTTAAGTCATATGATCTACCCAGATTGAGTCAGAAGGATATAGACAACCTAAACATACCAATAACAATTGAGGAAATACAAGAAACCATCAAAAGACTACCAATTAAGAAAAGCCCAGGACCGGATGGGTATAGAGCAGAGTTTTACAACACCTTTAAAGAAGAACTAATACCAATACTTTTCAAGCTATTCCAGGATATAGAAAAAGAGGGAGAACTTCCAAATTCATTCTATGAGGCCAACATCACCCTGATTCCTAAACCAGACAAAGACAATTCAAAGAAAGAAAACTACAGACCAATATCTCTAATGAATCTAGATGCAAAAATCCTCAATAAAATTCTGGCAAATCAGATACAAAAACATATCAAAAAAATTGTGCACCACGATCAAGTAGGATTCATCCCTGGGATGCAAGGCTGGTTCAATATATGCAAATCAATAAATGTTATTCACCACATCAATAGACTTAAAGATAAGAACCATATGATCATCTCGATAGATGCAGAAAAAGCATTCGACAAAGTACAGCATCCCTTTATGTTCAAAACTCTAGAAAAACTAGGGATAACAGGAACATATCTCAATATTGTAAAAGCTATCTATGCTAAGCCTCAGGCTAGCATCATTCTGAACGGAGAAAAATTGAAGGCATTCCCTCTAAAATCTGGAACAAGACAGGGATGCCCTCTCTCACCACTTCTGTTCAACATAGTTCTCGAAACACTGGCCAGAGCAATTAGACAGACGAAAGAAATTAAAGGCATAAAAATAGGAAAAGAAGAACTTAAATTATCACTATTTGCAGATAACATGATTCTATACCTAGCAGACCCAAAAGGGTCTACAAAGAAACTATTAGAGCTATTAAATGAATTCAGCAAAGTGGCAGGATATAAAATCAACACACATAAATCAAAGGCATTCCTATATATCAGCAACAAATCCTCTGAAATGGAAATGAGGCCACTCCATTCACAATATCCCCCCCAAAAATAAAATAATTGGGAATCAACCTAACAAAAGAGGTGAAAGACTTATACAATGAAAACTACAGAACCCTAAAGAGAGAAATAGAAGAAGATCTTAGAGGATGGAAAAATATACCCTGTTCATGGATAGGCAGAACTAACATCATCAAAATGGCGATATTACCAAAAGTTCTCTATAGGTTTAATGCAACGCCAATCAAAATCCCAACGGCATTTCTTGTAGAAACAGATAAAGTAATCATGAAATTCATATGGAAAAATAAAAGATCCAGAATAGCAAAAACAACTCTAGGCAGGAAGTGTGAATCAGGCGGTATAGCGATACCAGACTTCAAACTATACTACAGAGCAATAGTAGCAAAAACAGCATGGTACTGGTACCAAAACAGGCGGGTGGACCAATGGTACAGAATAGAGGACACAGAAACCAATCCACAAAACTACAACTATCTTATATTTGATAAAGGGGCTAAAAGCATGCAATGGAGGAAGGATAGCACCTTCAACAAATGGTGCTGGGAAAACTGGAAATCCATATGCAACAAAATGAAACTGAATCCCTTTCTCTTGTCATGCACAAAAGTTAACTCAAAATGGATCAAGGAGCTTGATATCAAATCAGAGACACGGCGTCTGATAGAAGAAAAAGTTGGCTACGGTCTACATTCCAATGGGTCAGGCTCCAAATTCCTCAATAGGACACCCATAGCACAAGAGTTAATAAGTAGAATCAACAAATGGGACTTACTCAAACTAAAAAGTTTTTTCTCAGCAAAAGAAACAATAAGAGAGGTAAATAGGGAGCCTACACCCTGGGAACAAATCTTTACTCCTCACACTTCAGATAGAGCCCTAATATCCAGAGTATACAAAGAACTCAAAAAATTAAACAATAAGAAAACAAATAAGCCAATCAACAAATGCGCCAAGGACCTGAACAGACACTTCTCAGAGGAGGACATACAATCAATCAACAAGTACATGAAAAAATGCTCACCATCTCTAGCAGTCAGAGAAATGCAAATCAAAACCACCCTAAGATACCATCTCACTCCAGTAAGATTGGCAGCCATTAGGAAGTCAAACAACAAGTGCTGGCGAGGATGTGGGGAAAAGGGTACACTTGTACATTGCTGGTGGGACTGCAAATTGGTGCGGCCAATTTGGAAAGCAGTATGGAGATTTCTTGGAAAGCTGGGAATGGAACCACCATTTGACCCAGCTATTCCCCTTCTCGGTCTATTCCCTAAAGACCTAAAAAGAGCATACTACAGGGACACTGCTACATCGATGTTCATAGCAGCACAATTCACAATAGCAAGACTGTGGAACCAACCTAGATGCCCTTCAATAGATGAATGGATAAAAAAAATGTGGCATTTATACACAATGGAGTATTACTCTGCATTAAAAAATGACAAAATCATAGAATTTGCAGGGAAATGGATGGCATTAGAGCAGATTATGCTAAGTGAAGCTAGCCAATCCCTAAAAAACAAATGCCAAATGTCTTATTTGATATAAGGAGAGTAACTAAGAACAGAGTAGGGATGAAGAGCATGAGAAGAAGATTAACATTAAACAGGGATGAGAGGTGGGAGGGAAAGAGAGAGAGATGGGAAATTGCATGGAAATGGAAGGAGACCTTCAGAGTTTTATAAAATTACATACAAGAGGAAGTGAGGGGAAAGGGAAAAAAAAAAGGGGGAGAAATGAATTACAGTAGAGGGGGTAGAGAGAGAAGAGGGGAGGGGAGGGGAGGGGAGGGGGGATAGTGGAGGATAGGAAAGGCAGCAGAATACAACAGACACTAGTATGGCAATAGGTAAATCAATGGATGTGTAACCGATGTGATTCTGCAATCTGTATACGGGGTAAAAATGGGAGTTCATAACCCACTTGAATCAAAGTGTGAAATATGATATATCAAGAACTATGTAATGTTTTGAACAACCAACAATAAAAATAAAAAAAAAAAGAAAGGCAAAATACTTTAATACTTCTTACATAATCAATTATAATATAGAAGCTTCTCTTTACTTACCAGAATTCATTCAATAATCACACAAAAATATGCTATCTAGTCTGAAACAGAACTTCAAATATCAAATAGAGAAGCCTTTTGATTAAAAGAAGCAATTATCAAAAATTTCTTAAACTGAAGAAAATATTAATACCAAATCCCCAAACAGCGAAAAGAGATTTGGTCTTCTAACAATCCTGGAAACGCTTCAAATGTGTGTGAAAGCCTATCTATCAAAACTTGTACTTTCAAATAAATCAAGAAAAGTTCCAATACCCCATTTGATTCAAATGTATGATATGTCAAGATCATTGTATTGTCATGCGCAATAAAAAAAGGGGGGGGGCTTGTATGTCATCACAGAAATCCAAATTCACATAGAAAACAGGAATAAATGTGCCAAACTAGGTCAAATCTATGATGGTGAAGCTTTTCATAAGTTGGTATGGTCTATGTAAGGATGTTACTGGTATTAATGACTATTATGTATAATTGAACACTTTTCCTTATTAAAATTGATCTCAATATTTTACTAAAAAACACTATAAGAATGATAAACAATTTAAAATTAAACTTCATATTAATGGTATTTTAAATATGTGCTGTTGATATACCTTTGCTATCCCATTTTTATCCCCCAATAACAACTTACTCTTCTGATTTTCTTCCGTTTTTTAGAACGTGGTCTTGTCTCTATTCTCTGGACACTGCAACGCACAAGTAATAACAGGTCTTGCAGGCTAAACAACTTATAAACAAAATTTCCTTCTTGAGGAGCAAGATATTCCGATGTATCTTCAACATAGTCCTGAAGTTCATATGGCAATCCTTTAAAAATAATATTTCTCATTTTTTATTTTAAAATACATTAGCCCTTTATTCATCATAATTCAGTACACAACAATTCAGTTAACTATTTTTTAAGCTTTTACCAACTTTACTTTCTACTTCCTCCACCTAATTGATGCTCACACTATTACCATTTCTATTTACTGGAACTGTTACAAATCTAGCTGAAATTAAAGCTTTAAAGTTCTCTCTCTTTTTTTTTTCCCCCAGTGCTGGGAATAAACCCTAGGGCCTCATACATGTTAGATAAATGCCCTACCACTGAGTTACAACTCTAGTCCAGTTCTCTTCCTTCTAGTATTACCTTCATTAACTTTAGGCAAAGTATAAATTAGTGAGACAGTACATCAGATTAAAAGAAAAAAACTTTTAAAAAGTAACGTTACGCCTATTCTAGGCAGAGCTGGGGAAGAGATTTACTTTTATTTCACAAAATTCAAAAGTAACAAACTATAGTCTAACACAAATACAAATATTGGTCTGATCAATGTTTATAATTGGTGCATTTCCTCTTCTTCAGTTTGCTAAACCACATTACCTATAGCTTAGCAGCCACTTTACACAGTGGATAAACATTAAGTTATAAAATCCATAAACCTCTGGTACATATCTAGAGAGGATATTCAGGAAACTGAAATACTGATCAGGAAACTATAAGATTCAGTATCAATGACTAGGTAAAGATTACAGCACAGGCCATAACAGAGACTCTGAAAGAATGAAGGAGAAAAAGTTAAAAAAGGAAGAGATAAAATAGTATAAGTTCTTTGTAAATATTTACTTACGTCCTTTTGGCTTCTGAAATGCAGAAGACCATCCAGATTTTGGCCAACTGGAGGCATCTGAAGGAGCACAGGGTTGCTCAGAAATAGGTGGTTGTTTAGAATTTTCTAAATTCATTAAGGGCAATTCAGGTACTTTTCTGGAAATGGGCTTTAAGAGCTCATCCTGCATTTTTAAAATTTCTCCAACTGGATCAAATTTTTTATATACCCGTTTGATAGGTTTTTTTAAAACACATGACTCTTCAGAATTACAAGTGGTAGTAGTAGTAGTCTGGTTTCCTACAGAAACTTGTTCTGAAGAAGAATTTGGACTCGCTGGTCTAGAACCTAAACTAGAACCCACAACAGCTATTTTTTCATCACTATTATTTTCACACTGTGTATCAATGATTAAACAGTCCTCATCTGTATCACTACTGCAAGGAATTACTTTTTCAGTTTTAGTTGTTTCTGATGTAGAAGACTTTTCCTTTGAATTGTCTATGTTATCTAGAACATTCAGTCTTTCATCTTTGGTATATACTGTATCTGTAGTAGTCTTATCATTTTCATTAGAGTTTTCAATTTCCTTGGAATTTTCAAACTGTAAGGCATTAGATGTTTTCAAGTCATTATCTTGCATCAAAGACTTGTCAGAACTGGTTACCGTTTCACCACATGGTACACATCCCTGATCATCTTTATTTTTGCATTCTTCAGGGCCACTTTCCATACCAGTGACCAGTTGTTTCTCCTTCTGCAATTGTTCCATTAGAATCTGAGTTAAACTTCTAGAATTAGCAGAAATGTCTGGTGCAGATGGTGCTACAGGTGTAGCTGCTGCTTTGGGGGCTGTGGAATCAGTCAGGATGGGTACCGTGGAAGTACTTGCTGGACTTGGTGACTTTGATGGTTTGGTAGTAGTTACTCCAAAAGTTTCAAGTTCTGTGACATCATCATCAAAATCCAGATCCAAATTTTCAAGAGTCTCAACTTTTCGGCACTCATTAACTTCACTGGATGTCTTAGAAGAAAATATATTGGTAACTTATTAGTAAAAATTTTAGAGCATGCTTCACCTATTTCTTAATGTCCCTATCCCTCAGATATATAGTTGTATTTTTTAAAGTAGAAAGAAAAGTCTAATGTTTCTAAATGATTCTTGCTTAAGATGACAACAAACTACAATCACTATTTAGCCTGACTTTCCCATTGAAATGTTCAGGAAAACAATTTGCTAAATTTTAACAGCACAGAAAACAGTGAATTGTGAAGTACTGCATCTCAAGAGGATTTTACACTAATCAAAAAGAAAAAAAAGATGATCACCAAGAAGAAATGCAGGATCAAACAGGAAGACAGGTTTTCATTTATGCCCACTTGTTCACTCTTGCAGACACCTGGACTTAGCTGAACTGTAGGAAAGCCTATTTGCTGCTGTGAGGAAGCTATTTTCTAACATAACCAGAGAAATGTTGCTACCTCTAGTGCATTCCTAACATCACCCAGTAGCTTTCTTTCCACACCTACTCAATGAAAACAATTTTTGAGTAATGTAAGATGGGGCAAAAATGGACAGGGTGGTACTGTATCTGGGACATGAAGTCACTGAGTTCATGGTTCTTTATGTACTATTCTAGTCACTTAAGAACCACACGCAGGGTTGGGGATGTGGCTCAAACAGTAAAGTGCTCGCCTGGCATGCGCGGGGCACTGGGTTTGATCCTCAGCACCACATAAAAATAAAGATGTTGTGTCCACCGAAAATAAAAAATAAAATATTAAAAAATTCTCTCCTCTCTCGCTCTTAAAAATAAAAAGAACCACACACAGCTTTAGTTTATTCAGGAATAAAATGTCTCCTTCCAAAGTAGACAGAAAGCATCAGAATAGCTCTCTTCGATGTGGCAGAAAACATTAGATAAATACTATGGAAACTTGGTTATAAGATATGAATACTACTAACCTTTCAGTTTAAGATTTGAGAGAAAGATTCTAACAACAATCAAATAGTAAGGAAAATCAAATAGTAAGGGAAGTTAACTAACCTCTCTAACCTCAAATTCCTCATTTCTAAAATAGGAATAAGAGGGTTACTTCTCAGATTTATTCCAAAGATTAAATGAGAAACTATATATAAAAAGTTTCCTTGCATAGTGCCTGACACAGAGTAGGTAGCCTTCAAATAAATGGTAGCTCTTAGTAAAACAAAAAAGTTCCAAATTTAGTAAAATTAAACTATATGCTGTTTACATTAGACATTCCACCACAAAAAGTTTGAAACAAAACAAATGGACATGACATTAAGAAATAAAAACAGGAGGAATAACAATGTTACTGTTATACATAGCAGAATTCAATGAAAAAAGCATTAGAAAAAGGAAGAATGCTGTGTTGAAAAAAGATGATATCCATGTGAGAATAGATAATGGTCATGAATTTGTGACATACCAAATATGAGGTTAAAATATATAGTCAAAAATAAAAATAGAAAAAATTTCGACAGAAACACAAGTGTACTTGGTCAATGATACCCTGTCTCTTAAGTGAAAATAGAAATTCATTAAGAAAATTTTAAACAATAAACCCAAGCACTTGCAAATTAAAAAACACTCCAAACTATTGGATAAAAAGAGAAATAAAAATAATTACAGAATACTTAGAAAGCAACAAAAATTAGAAGAGCAGACGTTAAAAATTAGAAGTATCATAATTTGAGGATCCATATAACAGTACCTTCTTCTAACAATTATTTTGATTTCATTTTGCTAGAAGTGTAGTGGAGACATTAGCAATCCAGAAGCATCTTACTCCAAATATGGGGCCTGAAAACTTAGGCTACAAATCTCTGAGAAAGCTCATTTACTTCTGGTTTACCTTTTCTCCTGTGGTATCTAAGCCTTTGGTGGAAAAGTGAATTCTGACTTGTAATCCCCTAATTCTGTGATGCTGCCAACAGCACAGCTCATTTCTTGGTTGCCACTTTGGAATTGGCAAATACAATCCAGGGCAAAAATGACCCTAAGTGACAGGCTTACACCTCCTATATTCCTTTCTTCTCTGTTATTTCAGCCCTGGCTATAATTCCTCACTATCTTATTAGTAGTTCTTTGATGCTTCTAAGAGAGGAAGTTTTATATTTAGTCTGGCTCTTATAGTTAGTTGTCTTATGTAATGGGAAGATCCACATTACCTGATCTATCATTACTTAAAGAAGTCACACTGTTACTTTTTATCCCTCTTAACCTACTTCACATTTCTTTATAGCACTTGCTACCTCTTGACATTCACCTCATACCAATATAAGTTTTAGGTAGATATTCAAAAGTAAATGTAAAAGAATAAAACATAAGAAAACTGGAAGTGCTGTGCTTTGTGATACTATACATCATAAAAAGTATTAGGCCAAAAACAAACAGAAAAAAACTTAAAATATATAAAAAGTAAAAGGCCAATATACTTAAAATCGTGTGATCTCTTAAATGTAAGAAAGACATTTTCATATTTGACTTTAAAATTTTGTTTCTTCTTCACTTTATTCAAGTTTCTATTCATATGGCTTGTTCTCAGGCCTTCTTGGTCATGAATGTAAAACAGTCTTGCCCCTATCCACCTATCTCCCTTTAACCTATTCTATTTTTCTTTATAGCAAATCACTATCTGCTTTGTTGCTTCTTATTAAGAATCTCTGCTACTAATGTAAGCTCTGAGAAGAGACTTTGTTCTCATTTACTGCTGTATCCTCAGTGCATAGAATAGCATTTATTCAATAACTACTTGTAGACTGAATTAATGAAGTTTTCTAGAAACAGAATAATCATAGATAAAATACTTTAAAACACACTGAATAAAAGCTAATATACGCAGTGTCAACTGTCAATCTAATACTTTATATGAATTAACTGCTTTAAACCCAAACTACCCAAAGAGCTAGGTAATATCATACTCGTCTTACAGATGAGCAAACTAAACAGATTATATAATTTGCTCAAGGCCACATAGCTACTAAGAATACTGAAAAAGATTAACAATCTAACCAAATACTTTCTGTACCAATCAAATTAAATTCATCTGTTCCCTTTCACACTTAAAATTCTTGAATAGGAATGAGGCCAATTAAAACCTCATATTAACCACTACCAAGACGAGAACATCATTAAGTTTTCAGTATATGCACACTGAGCATCTTAAATAAATACCAAACTTAACCCTCACAACAACCTTGTGAAGTAGGTCCTACTACTTTTGTTTTATGTGAAGAAAAAAACGGAGGTTTAGGGAGGTTAAATCACTTAAAGTCTTCTAGACTGAGAATTCAACTCTAAGTTTGAATTTAAAGACTATTTTATACACTTACAAATATACATACACATTACACACACACACACACTTTATTTTGTGGGTTACTCCACATCTGTGGAATTTAGATCAAAGACATTCATGTTCACCTGGACTTCAGGGTTGAGGGCTGTAATCTATAGACATAAATCTGCACATATTTATTTAGTATTAACACAATAACAATGGGGATTTTTATAACCAATAACATTTTGAATAAAAAATTTACTACGTTTTTACACTAAGAAAATTAAACTCCACGTACAAGCTTTAAGAAAATTTATCAAAACCAGATCTGATGGCATGCACTTACAGTCCCCAACATTTGGGAGACTGAAGTGGAAGGATCACTTGAGCCCAAGAGTTTGAGAACACCAGCCTGGACAACATAATGAGAGCCCCCTTTCTCTTAAAAAAAAAAAAAAAAAAAAAAATTAGGGGCTGGGGTTGTGGCTCAGCAGTAGAGTGCTCACCTAGCATGTGCGAGGTGCTGGGTTCAATCCTCAGCACCACATAAAAATAAATAAAATAAAGGTATTGTGTCCAGCTACAACTAAAAAATATATAGTAAAAAAAAAAAAAAATACATTTTGTCTCATTTGTGACACCTTTGTAAGTCAATAAACTATTTAGATGAAGGACCTAGCTAGGAAATTTGAAATCTATTTGGATTGAGTCTTTGGTATACAACAAAGTGTTTTATAGCTCTGCAACACATAATTGATACATGACATGTGTAAACTCCTTGAAGCTTTTTTTTTTTTTTGATAGTTAGTAACTTCATTTTTATTATGAGATATGTATGGTGTGATGTTTTTGTACATTTATGTTGTGTACTGATCAACTAAGTATATATGTTATCCATCATCTCAAAAATTTACCATGTCTTTGTGATAAACATTAAAATTCTCTTCTTCTAGCTATTTTGAATACTAATCAAATTTTTGTCTTTCTGTACATTGTTTTTCTGCGCACCTGGCTCATTTAACTTAACACTACGATCTCCAGATAGATACCATTTGTATCTATCCTGATACAAATGACAGGATTTCCTTTTTTTGTTTTGAAGAGCTGAATAGTTTTCTAATGTGATTACATATCATATTTTCTTTACCATCATAAATCCATTAATGGACCCTTAGGTTGATTCCATATCTTGGCTACTGTGAATAATGCTGCAAGAAACATGTTAGTGCAGGGATCTCTTTGATACACTGTTTCTTTTAAATATATATCCAGAATTATGATTGTTGGATCATATGGCAGTTCTAAAATTTCTGAAGAACCTCCAAACTCTTTTCTGTAGTGGCTGTACTAATTTACATTCCCACAAACAGTATATAAGGTCCTCTTTCTCTATATCCTGACTACTATTTGTCATTTTTTAGTCTTTTTTATTATATCCATTCTATAAGAAGATAATAATATCTCATTGGGGTTTTAATTTACATTTTCTCGATGATTAATAATATTGAGCATTTTTTCATATACTTGTCAACCATTTCTCTTCTTAAATTTATTTTTAAGTGACACATGAAAACATAAGAATTATACACATTAATGGTATATGATGTAATGTATATATATATGACCATTTTGCTACTAAGTTTAGAGACACATAATAAAAGTAATACTTCAAAAGGATAAACGTACATTCTCTTAAGGAAACAAAAAAGTCTTACATACTTCCATTTCAGATATACACTCTTCAGGTTTGTCCATAAATACTGCAGAGACTGGAACAGATGTGGTTTTGGACATCATAAATTTTAATGGAACTTCATGGAAAATTTGATTTCTTTCTCTCATTGTCATTTTCTTCTGGGGAAGTGGTGAGTTAATATAAATTACTTTAACTGGTTTGGAACCTTAAACCAGAAACAAAAGAAGTGAAGAGTAGCTGGTAGCTTTATTCAAAACAGAATACATAAACAAAGAGACATAGGGGAGAGGAATCACAACTCATATATTTGCCAATCTTGAATGAAAATATTTTTCAAATCCCTAAAGACAAACCCAACTGGCAAGACAAACATGCTCTTTTCTAGCCATGTTTAAAAATAATTTTCTGGTTTTTAATGTTGTACTCTGTTATTATTACTCAGTTCTTAAAGGAACTTGCAAAAAGTGATGAGATTTTTACCACAGAGAATACCTTACATTTGATTTTAATTTGTAGTTTTGTTTCATTTAAAGTCTTTAATTTATTTATATTATAGACATAAAATTTTAATTTTATTGTTAAAAGAAAAACTAGTATAGACCTACTTTAAGTCTGATTTTCAATAATAGATAAGTAAATAAATCCTGGAAATTAAACCATTTGAAGTTGTGTAAAGAAGTATAGCATTCCTTCATTTAAATAAAAGACAGAAGTACTTCACCATTTCATGTATTTCTGGCAACCTAAGTTATGATTATTTTTCTATCTTTCACCCCTTAACAAGACTACAGGTACTGTAGACTTAATACTAGTCACTTCTTTAGTAGCTTCATATTTGAAAAAAGTTCTACTGAGTTTAAGTGTTAAGGACTGGGGATACAGCTCAGTTGGAAGAGTGCCTGCCTCACATACAGAAGGCCCTGGGTTCAATCCCCAGCACCATCCACCCACACCCACACCCAAAAAGAGTTTAAGTGTCAAACTGACATTTTCCCTAAACCAAGTCTTTTGTATTTGACAAATGACCACCTATGTTTGAACAATTGAAATGGAATGGTTCCAATATCCTTTTGAGAGCATTATCTGACATAGCAAATCACAAACCTGCAACAGGTATAACTTGAATACACACTGGAATTTCCCACTGTTCCTTATAGCTTGGTCCATGATTATTTAACAAAGTGAATAATGATTGACTAGTTAGAGCTATCTGAGGATGATATCTTGAAACAAGTTTCTCTGCATTTGGATCCTTACTAATATCCTGAAAAAAACACATAACTTGTTAATTGGTTATATTCATTGACAATTTGACAAAGCAATGAAAAGAAGGGAGGAAGCAATAAAGGGAACTTCAGATCAACCAAATTATACGTATTTTGTGAGATACAGATTACTGAGATCCAAAGCCACCTGGCTACTTACATAGTGCATAGCTTCAGCTCTTTGTTCTGGTGTTTCAATGGAAGACATGTTATCTTTTGAGAGCTGCAACTTTGCAGGCATTGAGGGAAATACTGTTTTCACAAATTTTACATTGCCCTAAAGAAGCCCAAAATGAAAATATTATTGCAAAAATCCTGATGTATTTTTCCCCTAAATATCTTTCATCATGAAAACTCTTAACTGAAAATTCATTATTCTACTAAATGCAAATGTGGAAACTCTTTAAGCCAAGATATTCCCTAATGTTTTCTCTAAACCATCCCCAATTTTTTTTAAAGGTTCAAAAGAAGGGTTTCATGAAATTTCCCTGACACTTTAAATTCCATCTTCTCTTTTTATGAAGCACAAATCATAAAAAGCAATAGTGGAACCCAAATATCTTCTTCACATATATTTCTAGTATGTTTGTGAGTAAATTCCCTTTAAAGAATAAGGGCTTCCTCCTTGTATTTAGGAACATTAAGGAAGACGGGAAGTAAGAAAAGAAAGAAAGAAAGTTAGTAGTGATATTTTTTAAAACATCAAGAATTAGTATCCATGAACTAAAAAGAATGGGACACAGGTTGGTATTATATATTCAAAAAGTTATCTCTTTATCATTCAAATTTAAATAATACAATAAATACAGGAAATACAGATGATGTTTCAGACCAAAAAGGCTTATACTTTCATATGATAAACCTTACCAATACTAGAAGAGTTTTTTCTAACTTTAATCCCATCTCTATTCTGAACGGGAAGAATCCCAGTAAGCTGGTAACTTCATGGAGGGTATAAAATTCTGGATACTTTTTTACTTGTTCAATGCAAGCTCTTAAAACTTGCTAGGAAATAAAAATCAAGAAAAATTCATTTGTATCATACTTCATTAACACTGCAACAGTAATGTTTTAGTTACATGTGATTATATAATTATTTAATCATAAAAGTTAGATTTGTTTTGTTAATCAGACTTTTACCAATCTGCACATTGTATATTCCTTGATTTAATTTTATTTTTCAAACAAATTTTTAACCTAGTTTCCTAAAACACTGATTTTAATAATACTAAAATTAGCAATCTTATTAAAATTAAAAATTAAAGACACATTTTTTATGCTACTTAAGAAACCATCAAATATAGCCACATGAAAATTTCAACAATGTATTTCAATAAAAGCAGATGCATGAATTATTAGAAATAAAGTTTAATACTCCAAAAAAATTCCCAAATACATGAATTAATGGAGAAGTTATATATACAAAATAAAATGAACAATTGTATAAGTAGTTTAAATGACGGAATACTTAGTATTTCCAGATATTTTGAGTTTGAGATAGACCATATTCACATAACTTTTATTGTAGTATATTATTATAATAATTCTGTTCTATTATTGTTTATTGTTGTTAATCTCTTAGTGTACCTAATTCAAAAATTAAGCTTTACCATAAGTATGTATGTATAGAAAAAATGTAGTATATGTAGAGTTTGGTATTATGTTCAGCTTCAAGCACCCACTGGGGTTCTTGGAATGTATTCTCCATGGATAAGGATAATCTAGATAGATCATTAAAAGACACAAACATATGAATATACTACAGTACACAGTTTTGAGATGTTAATATTTCTACTATTCAGCACATGAATAAAAGACCTACATACAACTTTATATAACTTGATTCTCTAAACTGAAAATACTGACAGTTCTCTAAGCTTTTTGCTAGATAATCACACATTTTTAGAATGTTATTACTGTAATCCACTTAGAAATTTACATAAATGTAATTTTGTTTTTACCTCTGTGAAGAGACGAGCATCATCAGAAAGCATATTATAATCCTGTGCACATTTCTTTGCAGAATTCTGTAAAAACTTTAGGAATTCAGCAACTTCTTCATTCACATGTTTCTTCATATCCTGAATTTTTAAAAAGCAGATAAGTCTTGGAATAAGAAGTTTCATTAAAAAGCAATCTCTTCTCAATCACTGCTCTAATAATTTGAATTTAATGAACAATTAACATATCAAATCCAAATCAGAAACCACAAATAAAAGTTAATATAAACTCTAGGAATGGGGTGTAGCTCAATGGTAGAGCATGGGCTTAGCATCTGTGAGGCTCTAGGTTCAACACAGCAAAAACTAAAAAACAAACAAACAAAAAAGAAATTCCCAAAACTTAAACTCCACAAAAACAGAAAAGCCAATGTCTGATACTATAATACATGCTTAGGAATTAATTTATTTTATATATTAAAAATAAAAAAGACAAACATCCCTATAGAAAAATGAGCAAACAATATGAACAGGCAAGATACAAAAAAAAAAAAAAAAAAGAAATAAAAATGGCTGAGAAACACATAGAAAATACTTATTTTCATTAGTAATCAATGTAAATTAAATTAAGGTAAAATAAGAAATCACCATTTTACCCATATCCAATTAGAGGCAAAAGAAGGTAATGTACTACCTTAATGAAGGCAGTTTTTAAAAAGATTTTCATACAATAGTGGTACAAAGTGGCTTAAACTTGTTGCAGAAAAATTTATCCAAGTGCATGTGTAAATCACTTTGAAAACATGCATGATCTTTGATCTGACAATTTTATTTTAAAAATTTCATCTTAAGGAAGCAATCACAGATAAGAACGAAGAGTTTGCTAAAAAGATGTTCAGCATAGCATCACATATATAATTGAGAATGTGGAAACTACTTAAAGTAATAATTGAGCAATAATTTAAAACTGAAACAATAAGGTGTGTAAAGTTCTACTATAATTTGAGAGAGACATGCTCAGAATGCCTGATCTATATGAAAGGACCAACAAAAAAGGCACCAATGCTCTGCCAAGTAAACGTCTTACTTTTTCATTTTTGTAAATATGACTGTACCTAAAATAATAAAAGAAAATTTAAAATAAAAATTTTTCCTGATTTGTAATTTTTTTTCTTTTAGTGAAGCTGAAGAATAAAATACATACCAAATACTGCAAGTATTCATTTTTATTTATTCCAATAGCCTTTGAATTTGTAGAAATCTTTGCATATTTAACCAACAAGTCCACATAACTTCTTTGCTCTCTCTGTGAGAAACGAGAGAAACGAGGATAAGGAACTCTTGGTTTTGGAAGAAGAACCATTCCAACTGCGGTTTTAACTTTTTCCTCTGCTTGAGCTGCTGAACTAACTGCCGGCTCATTTTCTACAGAACTTGCTGAGGCATTCAAATTTTCCCCTATACGTCTGGAAAAAAAAAATACAATTTACAAATATGTGCTTTTCACATGAAGATTACTATCATGGAATTTCAAGATTCTCAATCATAAGGGAGAATATAGCATGATTAACAGAGTAAATTCTGGATTATTATCTAACTCTGACACCTGCATTTTGATGTTTAGTCATTTAGTACAGATTAAGTATTTTGCAGGAATGAATCACATTGCATACTTACCTTCAACTACCTGATGAAGAGGAAGAGACACACTATTACACTATTCAATTTAGAAGTTTTATCCCTTTTATTGAAGAGGGAAAATCATTCTTGCTCATTATATTTGTATTTATATTTTATTACAATGCTAGTTCTTTTTTAATGTTTAAATTCTCCAGTAACATATATTAGTTATATAATGAAAAAAAGCTACTAAGACCAGTTTAAAATAGGGTTACAAACTTAAAGTTAGTAAATTTACTGCAATTCTAAATTCTCTGGTTTCCTTTGCTTATCTCAAAATTTAAACAGAGCCAAGTGCAGTGGCACACACCTGTTATCCCAGCAACTTGGGAGGTTGAAGCAGGAGGATGGAAAGTCTGAGGTTAGCCTCAGCAACTTAGGGAGACCCTCAGCAATTTAGCAAGACTGTCTCAAAATAAAAAAGTTAAAATGTTGGGGATGTAGCTCAGTGGTAAAGCACCCCTTAGTTCAGTATCAAGCAATAAATTAATTAAGAAAATTCCAACAACTATAAGTTATATCTTAAGGAAACAGAAGTAGTTTTAGAAAGTTGTACAATCCTTTATCAGTCTTGTACATGTCTAAGTCCATGAAAATGTCCTTATGCAAAAGTAAAATCCTAGCATAAAGTAATGTAATATACTAGAAGAAAAAGTAGTGAATAGCTAGAGAACCTGTTATTAGATTTATTTATAAAGTGCTACTCTCAATTTTTAAAGAGGTCACCATACCACCTCAATTAATGCATATGACTACAAATTTCTTATCTTGTTCATAACTGTCGTTATTCTTGCTACTCAGTTATTGTAATCAACATTTTCAAGAAGAGAATTTATAATTCCACCAAAAACTTTCATTTTCTTGGTCTCTATAACTCTAATTTCCATGACAGCCATTATTTTTATAATTTAGCTCCAAATTAAACAATAATCCACAGAGGAAGAAAAACTAATAAGAAAGATGGATGTCTATATTGATTCATTCTTCATTCCATTTATTAATATTTATTGATGTTTATATGTGCAAGTCTATGCTAGATATTGAAAATACAACAAACACTGAATACAGTACAGTCTAGGCTCTCGAGAGTCTCAAGATCAAGTGGATTAGACAAATGAATGGAGAAGAAAGGTAAATATGTATATCAATCCGAAGTGGCTATGAATATTCTAGGTTTCCAAACAGAAAGTATCAAATAGGGGCCTGAGAAGAATTCAAAAGACATAATAATCAGGGATTAAGAGGGAAAATGGGAAGGAAGGAGAAATATACAGATACAGAAGGGTTATCACAAAAGGGAAAGTTTAAAGGTATTCAGAGGAGAGGAATACTGGATGCCTACAATGTATAAAACTGTCTTGCACAGTTTTTAAAGTGTTATCCTAACACTATATTCTATTTTCTCTATCATTCTTTTGTGATATAGTTTACCTAACTTCTCTTAAATACAATCTTATTGTTTTGTTTTAACACAAGAATCACATGTTAAAAATGTGCTCTACCACTAACTACCTACCCCAGCCCTCCCAATCTTATTCATAAATTTTAACTACTGCATCTCATTACATCATTATATCATCTGACATAGTGATTTCATTGCAATTTACCTATTAAAATACATATATAATGTAAATAACGTTCCTTTCATTTTATATTCATGTACTTCGGATGTATTGTTTTTTAAAATTATGTCTAGGGTAATTATTAGCTATTCATTTCATTCAGGCTGGTAACAGAAGTGTCTTATTTCTTACATACATTTGTTATGAAAAGTTGAAGTTATTATGTACAGCTATAATGCACCAATAAAAAAGTGGGAGGGTTTTGGCCTGATCAGGTTGCAAAGCATTAATTTAGATCTATGTCTAGACAAAGGATCAGTTAAGCCCCATCCAAAAGCAGCACTGATTTGCTTTAAATCAACTTTATAATACTAGAATAAATATGGTAAAAATTCCAAAACTTGAAAATAGTAATTTGTGAAAAAGATTTAGGCCTCCCCCATATAAAACAAAATATTCAAAAGTACCCTCTTAGAGCAAACCATGAATAAAAAGCTAATTAAAAGCACTGATTTTTTAATGGGGAAAAATTTTTGGAAAATAAAATTAGAATGCTCAGGTTGGCTCTAAAAACAATACATGTGAAAGAAGACATACTTAGTTACTAAGTTTCTCCAATAACTATACAAAAATAAGCACATTTTAGGTTAACAAAATGAATATTAACTGCTGATCTTGGGAGAAATGTATTACAGAAAATTGATTTTTCACTAGAAAATGTCTTGAGAGCTATTCAAACTTAACAGTATTGTGTCCGCAACTCTTAACAATACTGCTTCACAGCTGTCTCTCTGAATATGAGAACATGTCTGTCCTTGTGGCACAAACTGGCAAATTTAATTAAGCTGCTGCAGCAACAAGATGCTGACTCAGATATGCCAGAGTAGGAATGTCAAGAAATTCTAGCAGTTTAAATTGGCTACATTCAGCAAAGAATGAAATGGCAGCACATCAAGATCATCTCCAAGTGCAGTACTGTCAAAATCTTCATCAGAGTGCGAACCAAAAGCATCTGATAGGGTTTTTCTATTCACATTTACAACATTATATTTTATTTCACTTGATAGTTTGAAGCTTCCTCCTTTTGTTTTGTCAACTACCCAGTCTCCTTTTTACTTAACATGTCTATGGGGGGAAAATTCCCAACTGTTAGTTTCCTATACTTTTATCTACTGATTTGGCAGCTTCTTTATAAGTAGCATTTGGAAATTATGCTTTTGGCCTCCAACTCATGTCTACCTGTTATCTTCTGTGTTTGATTTACTTTTTATGTTGAAAGGATTAAAACTTCATTTCTTTTCTACTTTAAGTCGTTTTCCTCCTTGTTAGTTTAAAACTCAGTTACAAATGTCTGTAAACAGAATATTTAATTTTTTAAAAAGGCAAATGTTTATAATGGTTATTTCTACATAAATGGCTCACAGGGCATTTTAATTTTCTGGTTTATTCTTAGGTAAACTTTCCAAACATTCTTTAAAAACATAATTTATTTGTAATGTTTCATATAAAAATAACACTATGTTAACTTTTTAATATTATTATATGCAAAACACTATTTTAGCAGTCTTTTCATTTATAAACACATATGGTGCAAAAGAAAAGCTTTTTATGTTGAAATTAGGAGTAAAAAGCCTTTTGTGGAAAGATGAGGAAAAGGGTTAAAGAAAATCTCCTAGTTTTGAAAGTAGCAATCAATAATAAAGGTATCAATATTTTTCCAACTGTCGATGAGCACAAAAAATACAAAATTAGGGATGATAATAATTTTATATTTCTTCCTGGTATTTCCCCAAGAAAACCGTTGTAAATCAGCAAAGGCTCAAATCCATTCCTTACTGTAGTAATACTTAATAAAACTTAAGGCTAGGAAAACAGTCTAGAAACACATATCAATTTCTTATGTCTGTTTTAATACTAAAAAGTAAATTATCCTAATGAATTATTTTGTACTGCATAAAAATGTAAAGAAAAGCAAGTATAGTTTAAGAAAAAAGATTATTAGGAGTTTGGAATACTCACTTGCCAGCAAAACGTCCTCTCCTTTATACAAAGCTGGGCTATATAACCCACACCTAAGATATGGTGAAAAAACTGGACTTGAAAAGAACGGTTAAATTAAGAAGCAGTGGCAGGATGATGAAGATTAATAATAGAAAATTTTTAGTTTAAAATGATGATGGCTGAGATAAAAAGTTCAAAAAATGGTATGAAGTTTTTAAATTTTTTTTTTTTGGTACCAGGGATTGAACCCAGGGCGTTTATAATCACTGAGCCATATTCCCAGCTACCCCCACCCTCCTTTTTTAAAATTTTGAGATAGGTTCTCATTAAGTTGATTAGGGTCTCTCTAAGTTGCTGAGGCTGGCTTTGAACTCCTGATATTCCTGCCTCAGCCTCCTGAGCCACTGGGATTATAGGAATGTGTCACTATGCCCAGCTGAAGATTTTTAATAAAAGGTAAAGACATGTTTTTTAAATCCTAGTATACTAGAATTTGATAGGCATTCTTTGATTCAAATAATCAATGGCAATTCTTTATTTAAGTGATAAGTTTATGAAATCAGTTATTTCTAAGAAATGATACAAGTTGAATCACAAAGACATTTGAAAGTGTTTTTTTTTTTTTTTTTTGGTGCTACTGGAGACTGAATCCAGAGGTGCTTTTCTGAGCTTCATCTGCAGCCCTTTCTTAAAATTCTTTTATCTTACTGAATTGTGGAGGCTGACCTGGACTTATAATCCTTCTGCCTCAGCCTCCTGAGAAGCCAGGCATGTGCCACTGAACCTGGCTGTTAATGTTTTTAATACCAATTTGGCAATATACATTAAAATAAATGTATGCATACCCTCCACTTACTACTATACATACTATGTTCCTGTTGTGTACAAAAAAGGACAGTTATATTAATTTTTGTGTGTATTACAATATGCATATATCTACTATAAGCTAAGTCAATTCCACAAATTCATCATTCATCTTAAGAAGTTCAGATTCAAAAGGCTGAGTTTAGAGTGCAATATCAGTTATTGTTAAAATGTAAGTGTCTTATGATCAGCCACAATGAGAAGTCTAGAGATGAGAATACCAAAATATTTTGAAAAATGCCACAACCAAAATACTAGGAAAAAGCTAAGAGAGTGAGGTCGTGCTAGAGCTGAGAGCTCATTGATGCCTCTGAGAGGAGCAGTTTAGTACAGTAGTGAGGTTGGACGTCAGATTAGAGTGCAACGTGGGTGGGATATACAGTGAATGGAAGAGGTTTTTTATTTAAAAAAACAAATAAATGTGTTTTCTAATGCATTCTGTCAATCTGCCTTTTGAGTGGGAAGCTTAATTCATTCACATTAAAGTAATTGTTGACAAGGAAGAACTTACTATTTTCTGCTAATCATTTTCTCTGTCTTAAAGCTTTTTTGGCTCCTCATTTCTTTCCAGTAAGCATATATTAGTCTTTAAATAAGTCTAAGAACAAATGAGGGAAGAGTAAGAAAGTAACTGGTGGGGGTCAGGCATGTGGAGTTCATGGATTATTTTAAACAGGAAAAAATTTAAGCACACACATACACTGATTGAGATGATTGAAAATGAGAGAGAACAAAGATACAGGAAAAAGAGGGGGTAATACTGATAAGGCAGGAAAAGATTGGGGGGGGGGGTATGCTTAGTCCATTATAAAAGGAAAAAGGATAAAAGTGAATGCTGAACTCCCCTAGGGGAGCTCCCTAATTCTGCATCTGCTGGTTTTCAGATTAATCCACAATAGAGTAGAAACAGTCAATCAAAAAGAAAAGAGCTGCTACAGGCAAGTGAACAGTAAGAAGTGAAAATTACTACTGAGTAGTGATTTTCATACCAGAAAGGAAAAAAAATCTTTGGCAATTTGGCACTTATCTATTAAACTCTAAAATGTATTTACTTTTTAACTAAACAATTCAATTTCTGTGAATTTATCTTCTAGAAATAACTGCAAAAAAATTCACCAATATATTGTTTGTAACTACAAAAAAGAGGAATACAACATAGAACTAGCTAAATGAATTAAAAAATACATCTATACAACAAAGCGATATATAACCATCAAGACTAGGGTGAAAAGATTAAAATACATATATATATATATATATATATATATATATGACCATGGAAAGAAATACATTATTTCATATTGACTTCTTTTTTCTGTGACAAAATATTATTTTCAATGGAAAAAGCAAACTATAAAACAGTTTTAACGGGTTTAAAACAGTATTTTTCAGTTTTTATAGCATGATCCCATTTTTTTGTGTGTATATGTTAATATATGAAGAAAGGTAAATACCAAAGTGTTAACAATAGCTTTCTTACATTTTCTATCTTCTATAATTTGAATAATGGAGATAATTATAAAACTTCGAATATCAGAAAAAAAAACAATTAAATATGAAAATAATCAAATATTTTACCTGTTAGATAAAATACAGAGTTCTTTTAAACTTGGAGCCAAGGAATGGTCTTTATAATTTTCTCGAGAGAAAAATGTCTTATGGCCATTTTTTGGGGAAACATCCCTAGAAACAAAGTAATTTACTTTCATTTGACAATTCAAAATCTCATGTTAGACAAAGAAACATAATAGTATCTAATTTCTGACTATATGCCCTCTATCCAAACCCTTTCCCAATCACTTCTTAATGTTTAATTTCATATACCAGATCTGTGAGCTTAGATGTTTTACTTTTCAGACACCAAGCTCAGGCGGATTATGATATTCTATAACTCCAACAATCAACCTTTCTTTTTCTATAGTACCAAATTAAATAACTGTCAGAGGTTTGAGAGTTAAAGATAGAACAGAATGAAGTACAATCAAGAGTCTGTCATGGGCAGGACTCATCTCTGGTTGTGAGGCATAACATTAAGATGCCTGATTATTGAAAAAAAAATGCTTCTCAATTTATTTTTGTTTCATGCATTACTGTTCTAGTCCAAAAGACTGAACATCCAACCTATTTTTCTGAAACTGGAAAATGGGATAAATGGTGTGCCTTTGCTAAAAATCACCTCTATAATAATATATGATTTTTCATAACATTGTATGTAATTAATTGAGGCTAATATAACATAACCAATGCTTTCCAGAGAGTAAGCTTTCCCCCAAATGATGGCAAGTGAAGTTAAAAAACTGAAAACACGGAGAATCCAGGGAGTACAATGATTACTAGGATTTTGTGAAAAAGGATAGTTCCAAAGCCTATAATACTGTGTAAAGGTTCTAAACCACAATTGGTTTCATAGTCAGTTGCATATATGAATAACTGCACATCATCTGAACACTTACTTTACAGTATTAGCCAGGAACACAAATGTGCATGTAACTTAAAACCTACAACAAAACACTCCAATCAAATGCAACTTCTAGTCCCATTTCCAAATGGGAAATCCTAGCATATATGGTTCACGTTTATCTTTTACTGTTTTTAAAGGTATTTATCCAAAAAAGAGAAAAAAATAAAACAAACACTAAGATTAAGGTATTATAGTAAAATCAGAATTTCTTACTTGCTATGGACCATGGTAAAGTGTCCTATTATTTCAGCATGGTAATATTTCCATAACATCTCATTAAATTCTAAGGTTTCCTCATATAATTCTAAAAAAAAGTCAAGGGCCTCAGGTATTATGGAATTCTTTGGAGATGCAAACACTATTCATTACTGAACATACTGACTTAAAAGTTCTTTAAGTCAGGCACTATTTTAAAAATCTTTGTCATCTCTTTGTGACTTTTGTATCCTCCTTTGCTGGCTTAGTAAATGTGTGTTAAAATGAACTAGGGCAGCAATGTAGTATAGCAATATGATAGTTACATAAAACCACTATATTTGTTAGATGCCTACAAAACTATGATATTACTTAACTGGGTTCTCTATTAGCAAAGTTCTCACATTTCTAAAATACAGAATACAGTCTGCATTTATATAATCTTTTGAGATAGATTCTACTATAACAAAAATAAGTGTGTCTATTCTTAAAGATGGTCTTTTTATTATTTGTATGGAAATAGGAAAGTTTTTAGAAAATTCCAGCATCTCTCCTTCACAACATACCAACAATAAAGACATGATGGAAGTATATCTAATAAAAATTTGAGTGCTCAATTGTCACTTTAGGAGTGGAAGTGCAGTAATTATATCTCAAAAGTATTTATTACATGAAGATGAGAACAGGATAAATTCTGAGATCCTGATCTTTCCTCTTTTATTTCTTCCAAACCTGTTCGGGCCAAAAGCTCTCCTTTCCTATGTCAACCACCAGCTGGACTTCACTCCTATTCAGTTGATTAGGTAGAGAGAGAACTCACCAGTTTAGCCTTGGTTCACTCATGGTCATGCTGGAACTCATCTTCCTAGATTTCTGCTTCACTCTAGCCCACGATTTGGCAGGTGGGAAGTAAGGTTTTCAAGAGGTAGGATCCCTCCAGATTCTACACTCAACCGAGGAAAAACAAAAGGTCAAAATCAAAAGCAAGGGATTGGCCAAGGCCCAGCTGCACTTTATTAGGTGAGAAAGAACATATGCCCTAAAACGACAGTGGCCACCTAGAACAGACAGATGAACGTTCCCAAGGTTCTTTGCATCAGAGCAGTACAATAAGTCCTTTTCCATTTAACTTATGCCAGGAGGGTCAGTCTTAGAATATTCACTGAGGAAATAAGAGCCAAAACAGAATGGTGTTCTCACAGCTTACACACTAGATCATTTCATGGAAGGGAGATGTATGTCTTAGCTCTGCCTAATTCCCTTACTGCCAAAATGAATCCTGCTTCCATTTCCCCAATCATATACCATTACGGGGCACATTCTGACAAATGCATGGCAAAAGCTGCCTAGCTATCAAGAAATTTAGATCTTTCAAAGAAAACCTTACATTTGATGAAACTCAGGTTCAGGAAACTTAAAGTGACAATTCACAGGATCACTCACAGGTATTATCAGGCCTCAAAATCGGGCTTGACCTCTCCATGTTACCATGAGTAGGCTGATAAAATGGCATAGGGGGTAAAAGTCAAATTTAGGAATCTGTCTGTATCTTGGCCCCTGACGGGCCTGACCAGCTCCCACTTAATCCACCTTTCATACTTAGATCAGGGTGGGGCTGGGGAGGATGTGCAGATGAAGGCAAAATGTATGTCTGAGAGAAAAGAGAGCGCAGAAAGAAAAGCAAGTTGCAGGAAGGCAAGTAAAGGAGTGGGCAGAGTAGGGTAAGAAGCCGCGCCAGAACCGGGAGCTGAGAGCCCGGGGCCGCCATGTTCTTTCCTCCCGCCCCTCAAGAGCGCTCCCGGCGCCTTCCCTGCCGCTTCTGGACTGCAAAGCAGCCTTTCCGCCCACCTCACGGTCCGCGGCGGCTCGGCCCCGGCGCGGGCCCCACGCCACACTCGCTCCGCCCCACTCCGCACACTCACGCGCGTCCTGAGAAGGCTAATTTAAAGGACGTGGCCGCGCAGACTTGGCTCTGCGTGATGACGCCACCCGAGACGCAGTGGGTGGGGCCTGCGTGCCTGAGGGGCACGGCTAGCCTGCTTGCGTCTTGCTGGTGGTTCTGGCTGCAAAACCCCTGGTTCTTGAAGGGTAGAGGGGGTTGGGACTTTTCGTTATTATAGAAAGCCCTGATCTTGGTGTGTTTCTGTTGGGCTGGGCGCGGGGCGGGGGTGTGGTGATAAATTGGAAAAAGCACAGATTTGATGATTGTGACCCTAGCCAAGCTCTTAATTTCCCTATAACTCTAATTACCCATCTGTAAAATGAAGATGATATTATGTACTTCATAGGGTTTTGGAAATGCCTAAATGGAGCAAGGGATGAAGTTGTGCTCAGCACAGTATCTGGCACAAAGTAGGGCTTCACTACATGCTGTTTCTCCTGATTGCCGCTCCCTGTTCCATTTTGATGTAAGGTTCCTCTAATGGTCCCTTGGTTCTTAGTCTGCTTTTGTTCTCATGTTTTATGAAAGACTTATTGAGCACTTTATACAGCGTGCTTGGTGCTGGGTACACATGAGACTAAGCCTCAATATAATTTTTTCTAGAGCTTTTGATCTCTGGGACTCTTAAGGTATTTACATTAAAATGAAACAATAGAAAATGATAAACTACACAAGAAAGTTGTTATGTTTTGGATCTTAACTCTTCTCCCAAAGACCCATATGTTAAGGGCTTGTTGGCCAGCCTGTCGCACTCTTAGGAGACAGTGCTTTCTTTATGAGGTAGGGTCTTGTTGAAGTTAAGTCATTGAGGGCCTGTCAATGAAGTAATATTGGGACCCTCAGCCCTTTTCTCTTTGCTTCTCTGCCACCATTCGGTGAACACTTTTGCTATTCTGTGCCATGATGTTCTGAGCAGTACATGATATTCTGCCTTGCCAGGGTAAAAAGTCACCAGGGACTGAAAGCTGAGCCAAAATAAACCTTTTCTCCTTCAAATTGTTTATCTTAGGTATTTTATCACAGCAATACAAATCCAACACAAGAGGTAAATAGAAAACAGTTGGAGAGGGAGAGAAATTAACGTGAGCTGTGAAAAGCAGCTTTAAATGTGCAAAGACTTGGTCAACTTCCTGCAAGACAGAATCTAGTCAGTCCAGAGGCAAGAAAAAGGAAGTAGAGAAAAAACTTAAGTGATGAGCTACCAGACTGAAAGTGAAGTATCTCCCTAGAGGACAATCTTTAAGGAAAACTGATTTAGGAGCGGTTCATATAGGAGATTGATGATTGCAGACTGGTGGGTGCCTGCTCACAAGTGGAGGCTTATAGCCAAAGGACACACATCTGCTTTTAATTGCCTGGTCGCAAGATGTTTTTCAGTTCTGCAAATCTCAAGAAAAACAGTGATGATTTTTGTCAACTTCATTATTTCCACAGGTTATTCTTTGCAAAGTAACTAGTTTAGATTAAGGCATGAGGGTGGAGCCTCTATGATGGGATCAGTGCTCTTTAAAGAAGAGAAACCAATGTTCAACAAATAGGTATTAATATATGCTTTTCTTTAAAATATAGGAAATGAATAAATCAGTGGAGGTAGCATTGTAAACAAACATTATAATACAAAGAGGAAATGGCATACAGACATATAGAAGATTCTATGTGAACACCAAAGAGGAAGGAACTCATACTGATGAACACAATTTACAGATTGCTTTAGAGAATTTTAATATACATGGGATCTTTTAAATTGTTTAAGGTCTTTATTATATTAACATATTAATTGTACATATTAATTGGATTTACTGTGATATTTTCATATATGTATACAGCATATACATGTATATGCATGGATATATCCATTCACCCTTCTACTCTCACATCACCCACCTACCCATTCCCTGTTCCTAGTAATTACTGTTCTATTTTCAGACTGACTTTCTTGTTTTAGTTTCCACATAGGAAAGAGAACATTAAATCCTTGCCTTTCTGTGTCTGGCTTATTTTTCTGACATGGTATCCTCCAGTTTCATTAATTTTGCTGCAAATAACAGGATTTCACTCCTCTTTATGAATGCAATAATATTCTGCTGTGTATATATACCATATTAGTGCATTTATCTAATGATGGGGACTTAGGCTGATTCCATATTTTATCTATTGTGAATAGTAGTGCAGTAAACATGGGCATGCAGGTATCTCTTTGTGTGAGGGGAAAAGAAGATCATTGGACTAGAAAGGGGAAGGGAGGCAGAGCTGGTCTTCATGCCATTCTAAAAATTTTGGACTTTATTCTTTGGGTTATGGGAACCTCTGTATGTGTGTATATTAAACAGCTTCACTGAACTGTAATCCACATACCATAATTCACTCCTTTTAATTATACCATGAAGTAACTTATAGTAGATGTACAGAGTTTTGCAACCGTCATTACTACCCACTTTTAGAACATTTTCATTACCCTAAAAAATTAATTGTGCACAAAGCAGTTAATCCTTTTTACCTTTATCTGCAGACAACTACAAATCTACTTTCTGGCTCTGTATATTGTCCTTTCTAGATGTTTCATGTAAATGTAGACTATGTAGTCTTTTGCAGCTGGCTGCTTTGCATAGTGTTTTTAGGATCATCCATGTCTCCATATGTATTAGTAGGCCATTCCTTTGTGTTGCTGCTAAGTGCTTGTTTATGGATGTTTCTCATTCTGTTTACCCATTCAACATTTGATGAACATTCAGATGGTTTCCACTTTTGGGCTATTATGAATAATATTGCTGATAACATTGATATAAAATCTTTATGTGAACTTTGTGTTTTTATTTCTCTTGAGTAGTCTAGGAGTGGAGTTGCTGAGTGGTAAATTTTTTGATTAAGTTTTTAAGAGAGAGCCACATTGCTTTCCAAAGTGAGTGGAATATTTGTGTGTGTGTGTGTGTGTGTGTGTGTGTGTGTGTGTGTGTGTGAGAGAGAGAGAGAGAGAGAGAGAGAGAGAGAGAGAGAGAGATTTTTAAGTAAAAGAAAGATCTGGTTTTCCATTTCTGCTGAACTAAGGAACAAATAAACCCAGAAGTTGAATGAGAAACTTGGAAAGAATTTATAACAATCTGTACTTGTTTTGAGTTTATAATGTTTCATGGGACCAAAATTTCAAAAATTCTTAAAGCTACAAGCACTGACTAAGTGAAATGATCTCAGTTGTTACTGGGTGTATATTTCTTCTTGTAGTCTACATAAAGATAGAGAAATGTGCAAGATTGTCTTTTTTTAAAATCACTTTATCAGTACTGAGTCATTTTCCTACCCCTCTGATAATGAGCTTCCTTTGCTTGATTTGGAGTGAACACAGCCTTGGAGAGTTTATAGCTTGATCACTACTTCATTCACTGAATTTCTTCATAAACCATACATAAGATGCTTGCAGAATGAGAATCCAGAAATGGTCCTTTGGCAAAAAGGTTTTAGTCTAGTAATTGATTAGAAAATTTGAGGAAATATTGTTGCTAATACCAGTTTGTCAAATCAAGATTGTCAGTAATGGTATTTCAGGTGGGTAAGGAGCCATCGTCAATTCTAAAACCCAGCAAAATACTCTGGCTCTGTGTTGGATTAGAATAGCTAAAGTGTTCAGATTGCTTTGCTTACAAGATTTTTTTTTGGTACCAGGGATTGAACCCAGAGGTGCTTAACCATTGAGTCGTAGGTGCTTAACCACTGAGTCACATCCCCAGCTCTTATTATTTTTTTATGACAAGACAGCGTCTCATTAAATTGCTTAGGACCTTGCTGAGTTGCTGAGGCTGGCTTTGAATTTGTGATTCTCCTGTCTCAGCCTCCTGAGAAGCTGGGATTACAGGTGTGTACCATGGCTCCTGGCAAAAGATAATATTCTCTAAAATATATTTTGGTGTGTTTTCTATTATATAGTCCTTGGGCTTAAAAAAAAAAAAAAGGCCCAGCTATAATTGTTCATGTGAAAGCTGAGCTTTTATAAGGAATACTTAGTATCCCAAAAAGAAAGGGAAATGATAGCAGAGATAATTCCAAGTAATTTAAAAGTTATTATATTTGTCTTTAGGATGTGGTATGCATTTTACTTGGGTAAAAAGACAAGGGTAGAAGTGGTGGCCATGGGACTTGGTAGGAGATCACTTTGTTAATTTGGGGTGAGACTAAAATTAAAATGAATTGTGCATGAACCATAGAACAATTGATAGATGAAGCAACTTCTTCTCCACAAAGGGGAAGTTATATGAAATTTAAAATATTTGAGAAGTCAACCAACAAAAATGATAAAATATTTGATGATTGCTGAGAGGTTACTATGTTTTACTAGTATATTTTTCCTCCTAAGGATAAAAAGTTCCAGAGTCTTGCAAAAAGACTAGTTTGTTAACTCTTTCCAATATTAGAATTAAATGGCATTGGGGAAAAACAGGATTTTTCTTAGCTCACATCTGGAGATATGGTGAAAGAACAGCATTCCCGTTAGTCTTGTAGGATTAGGTTTCTGCCACTGTTTAGAGGTGGAGGCAGGGGACAGTGGCTGTAGATGCCATTAGTGTGATTCTTCTGGGAATCAGGAGGGTCCTTTTGTCAAAAAGTCCCTCCTTTCAGCATTTTAATTTCCACATAATTGTACACATTGATACAGTGTGACATTTGGATACAGGCATACAATCTATAATGATTCATTCAGGGTAATTGGCATTTCTGTTGCCTTAAACATTGATCATTTCTTTGTGTTGGGCATTTTGAAAATCCTCTCTTCTAGCTATTGTTTAATCTATAGTAAGTTGATGTTAACTATAGTCACTCCGTTCTGCTGAAAAACACTGGAACTTACCTTTTTATCTACTTCTATTTTGATACTTATTATCTGCCCTTTCTATTCCTGCTACCCTTCCCTGTCTCCAGCCCCTGGTAATCACTATTTTACTCTCTGCTAGTATGAGATCAAGTTTTTTTTTTTTTAAGCTT